GAATTATATGGAGTAGGTGGGAGTAAAATGATAGAAAATGAGATACCCCAATAGTTCCGCCGAAAGATGGTAAAGGAATGGATTTCACAAGTCTCTGATGCGTCGTAGTATGATACAAAAAATGCCAAAGCTCAATGATGATGCTCAATATCACATATGAGGTTTGACACACAAGAGATTAGAGGAAAGAAGAGCGAGAGATGCAGCGGAGACTACAGGTAGTTGGCTTTTAGTATGTGAATTTTATCATAGACGAGGTCCGTGACGAAATGGCCCAAACATTAGATTCCCCCGACGCATATGCCGAAAGGTGATACGGGGATCTATAGCCTTAAAGTAATTTCCCATTCAGCTTGAGAATTCAGAATTTGAGATCTTGTACAATAAGGCTGTAGAATACGTGATATCAAAGGCTTGAGGCAGAATGTAGAATATAGCGCCTCGAGTAGCACGGATTTGGTGGCAGTAATCAAGTTAAAACATTGACCAGAGAGATAAAAGATGGATCCTATGAGACAAAAAGTCTCTGATAATAACTGGAGAGAGGATAGTTGAGTAAAATGGCAAACTTAAATCAACACTGCCAACACAGTAGGAGGATGAGGGGACCAGTGAAGACTAAATATGTTTCACTAAATCAGTTCAAAAGGGGAAAACCTGAACTAGGTTTAGATAAGCAAGTAGTAAATTGTGATGGTGAGCAAGTGTAAAGAGGATATAGTACAGATGAGTACAACCGGATAGGAGATATCATAACTATGGATCAAAATATCGATTTCATTTATATATTTGTAATTGTGTACGTTATGAAGTAATAAGTAAACTTAATCGATTAAAAATCTAGCGATTCGGTAGGTGAGCGCATTACCCATTGCTCCTCCAAACGAGGGCCTGGAGGCTTAGAAGTAAGGGGACACTTCGAGTATAGATTGTTGAATTCAGGAAGATTGGAGGTCGATTTTGAAAGAGGCGATCTAAAATGAATAAAAGTTATATTTGATATAGAAGATAAGCAATATAAAGAGGAAAGGAAGTAGTAGGAAAAAAAGCGCTAAAAAGGCAGTATAATAATAATAATAACAATAATCAGTATGATAATGAGTCACATATTCAAGAAGCTTCATAATAAAAAATGGCATCTGAAGAATGCTTAAAAATAACTGCGGACCTAGAATACAACTAATAAAATTGAAAGGATTGTTGCAGAATGCCCAAAAACTTAGTCATAGTGAAAGATAGAAATAAAAATATGAACTAAACTAATAAGATCAATAAGTAATCTTTAGAATAAACCCAATTAATTCAAGAATAAATGAACATGAACCATTAAGCTAAAAGCATAGATTTGTACAAGAGGCTGTTCACAAAATAAATCAGCTAATGCAATAAGGAGTATCAAAAAGGATAATGTTTAAACCACTTAACTCGAAAATTTTAGAGGATAGTTTAATTCAAATCTCTTAGTTACTATGGTTGATGCATGTGCACTTGATAAAGAATTTAAGTCTAAGCACATCTGACTTTATGAGGAAAAATGTATATCAAGATGACAAAATTTTTGATGCAGTGTAATTCGAACCAGAAAAAGCTTAGCATAGATTCATCGGAGTCGCAGGACAGTGAGCCGATGACTTCGCAAAATACAACCGACTTTCCCACGCCTCAATCCTCCTTCGGTTTCACGTACTGTGGTTTTTGTCCTATCATCAAGTGCTTAATCTCGTTCTCTCAGTCCACTTCATATGGCCCATTTACTTATTCACACAATTTTGTGCTCTCGTTTTCTCCGATGTCGCCTAAGAGTTTGCTGCTACAAGTGGGGTTACAATGAAGCGTAATCATCTTCACCACCGGTACTAGGTGCCGTTTGCAGGGCTCCTGACCTACATTCTGCTCCCATTTCACCTAACCCTCTTGCTAATTTGTCGCTGTTAAATATCAAAATCACTGTGTAAATGTGTAGGACCATTCAATTATTGTCCCCTATTACGCCACATTCGAGTATTTAAAACAGATGATGCCAATGTCAATGTCCATGACTCATACTGGCGTACCTTTTATTTCACTTGAGAAGGCGGGTGGAAAGAATTAGTAGATTGACCTCACCGGATACCGAAGGATAGTTGCCTTGGACTTTTATCTGTTGAAGTGTGCGAAGAAGACATCGGCTCATCGTCAACACCAAAAACCATTATTCACGAATAACCACCAAAAAAACTAAACAAACATATAGTCATTATCTTATAATGAAGTTTATCACTTGAATAGAGGTTGTTTGATCTAGTTTTCGCAACTTGGTCATATTGGTAGGAAGACTTAGAGGAACGCACCTAGCCTGGAGTCCATTGTATGCATGATCATTTCCAAAGTCGAATCGTGGACGTGGTACATTCTCAGACGTTTCGCCGGCATCGTCAGTGAGTCTCGCCATTCTTAACACTACACAACAACTCGTAAAAGAGACACGTAAAGCCGATCCTTTGACCAAACGTTTACTAAACAGTTCTGGCATCTCCCCTTCTGCCCTAAGCTATTCACATTTTCTATATCCTCCTACCACACCTTAACTGTTACCATTTTCCCTTGCTTATTTAAATCTAGTGTGGTGTGACTTTTTAAGTGGCTTTCATGAGAACCCTCCGCATTCCATGCTGGCGTTCTCACCCCCCTTCACTCTTGTGCTGGTAATGTTAATCAGAGTCTGCAGTTATGCAGATAAGAGTCTGCTATATTGTTACGCAGTCCTCCTACCCTAGGTTCTGTGCTACTAAAGGCATAATATATGGGGTGGCAGAGGTCGAGTGAAATGCTTGAACCAGGCGATAGTAGACGAATTCTACGGGGCAAGAGGGAGATTGTGATAAGACTTAGGAAAGGATTGCGCAACAATATAGCAGACTCTGATCAACATTCCCAGTACAAGGATAAAGGGGGGTGATAACGCGCGCATGGAGTGCGGAGGGTTCTCATGAAAGGCATTGAAAAAGGTCACACCACACTAGATTTAAATAAGCAAGGAAAAAATTGTAACAGTGAAGGTGTGATAGGAGAATATAGGAAATGTGAATAGCCCAGGGCAGAAGGAGAGATACCGTAATTGTTTAGCACACGTTTGGTCAAAGGATCGGCTTCATGTATCTGAGGGGTTGTTGTGAGGTGCTGAGAAAGACGAGACTCCCTGACGATGCCGTCGAAACGTTTGGGAATGTACCACGTCAACGATCCGACTTAGGAAATTATCATGCATACAATGGACTCCGGACTAGATGCGTTCCTCTAAATCTTCCTACCAATATGACCAAGTTGTGAAAACAAGGTCAACCAGCCTCTATACAACGAAAGGAGACTGCGACCCCACAAAAGGTCACACTATCTTAGTCTTCATACCTTCGATTTATCACTTAAAGTTATGTTGGACTAAAATTGTAGTGGTAACTCTAATAAAAGGAGTATAGCGAATAAGATGGCATAGAGTAAGATAAGATGAAACATACATTATCAAGTACAAGGACTACCTAATAAATAGAAGCAGCCCAACATATTGTTAATGGAATTATACAAATTGATTTAAGAGCCATATTTTCCTTTATAAGGATCAGAGAAGCATTTAAAATAATTAAGGATCTAGTTGTACTATCAATGCGAATTTTTTTACATTTCTGCTTCGATGAATCGTCCTGGCGGGTAGCCAGGCTTGTCCCGCATATGGGTCTGGCCGCTACAATGTTCCATCGGGGCGTCCATTTCAGAAGGCAGACGGATGGTGGAAGCAATGGGTCCTCGGTTGAGAGGGGATGATGTCGTGTTGCTACATGGAATAGGTGTCAAAGAGCTCAAAGCGAATGATGGTATGGCTTTAGGAGGCGAGATGTGAATGAAAGAATCTTGAGACAAGCAAGATTTTGGAAATCTAGTGTGAGTATCCCATTTAAAGAGATGTGGCAGAGTATGGTGGGGCGAAATGGAGGCACATGCAGAAGCTAATAGAAAATAGGAAAGATGAGAAGAGAGTGACTGTGGGCACAGATCAGATCGAGTAACGATTATTGCTAAAATATTATGATATGTTTAAAGTAATTAATTAACCTCATTGTCGAAAAAAATGAGTGATTTGTACAAGTCGAATAGTCCCATCTCTCAAAAACTTCACCAGTCTATTCTGAAAGTGTTATCATGATAAGACGAGATTCTAATTCTAGTCAGATAAGAAGCGCCAAAGTAAAACTTCACACAAAAATCACGCAAGTTCATTATACTTCTTAGTCTGAATGTACGGATAATCTCGGAAGCCTACCTAGTCGAATGTGTTGGCAAATACGAGTCTGCTTTAAGG